CTATCGTACTACATAACGGTCCCCAAACACATCCTCCCCACCCCATACGCCTTCAACGAGCCGCATTGGCCAGCGTGGTGAGGCGTGCCACTTGCATTAAATGCGCAAAAGGAGTTCTAGCCCGTGGGTGTGTCTGGAACCTTCCTCTTTATCATCACAACGCGTCGTCACAACACCAGGTGAACTACTCCGTTCAGGCGCCACAAATTCCCCTTCTTATCCCGACTTCTATTCTCTTCCCCATACTTTCTGGAACTCCCCCCCCTCCCCTCGTTTCTGCTATAACGGTCTCCCCAACCCACCCCTCATTTCCATTTCATCCATTATAGAGGTTTTTGGGTTAGATCACGTACATATAAACGTGTCATTAAATTCGCCACCACCCGACAAAGCCAATTAGTAAGGTTTGTCACGTAAACAAAGCATGCCAATTCGTTACTAGTTTCAGCACACCGGTGTGTTGGAGAGTAAGCCCACATTGACCATTCGAGTACCGTGAGGTTTCGCCAGTAATTATAACCAGCCTCATCAGGCGACAGCCAGAGTTGTGGAGAAATCCTCTTGTTTCGGTCTTAAATAGAGGCGGTAAATGTGACGTCCTCACTTGTGAGCCAATCAGGTCTTCCCTTGGTTGACGGATGCACGAGTAGCACATACTGCGCATTGGCTGTATCGGTTTAACACGGAGGCTTTCGTACGGCTTTTGGCAGGTTTAACGACACTATATATTTACGTGATCTAACCCAAAAACCCCTATTATGGATAATATTGGTCGTTCAAGGATACTACTACTACTACCACGTGTTAAACATTTCCATTTAAGTTTTCCCCGGACGACCAATCCGATGTCGATGGCTTCTCCATCTTCAAATCCGATTGGGCGTTGACCCCCCTACATCGACTCTTCCCCCCCCTCCCCCTTTCTGTGACAGCTCCTCGCTAATGAGAGTCGAGCGCGCTTATTCGAACTCAAGAAGGAGTCGTTAGAACCCGGTGAGTTATTTTCATGATGCGGGGAGCGGTGGTGCAGCGGGTTAGCGCGCTCCACTGCGCTCCGAATCCGGCGAGCCGAGATCGATTCCCGCTCATGGAGCAACACCAGTGACGAATATCTGAACCGGTCTGGGGCCTCCCCATAGGTCAACTCGGACTCTAAATGAGTACCTGGTGCGGTGTGGAAACATCACCCACTGGGGAGACAAAGGGGGTTGGGCGTGGTGCTGGCCACCCTACCCCCTCGTGTGCTGTGCCGGCCTCCATAGGTGCCACTCACTAACAGCACTTGCCCCAACATTCAGGCTATAACGGGGGGGGTTCTTTGTCTTTAGTATTTTATTATGAATTAATTTCCTAATAGGGCTTGCTTCCCGACCATCCCTTACAAATATAATAACATTAGCTTAGTAGAGCTAGGTACCGTATTTAAATATGTCGTAAATGCAGTTGTTCTACAGTTATACAGATTTAATAATATTCCTATGGGCGGCGGATTCGGTTAAGGTGGGTGGGGGTCGCAACATTATTAAGTGGCAAATGTGTTGGTGAAACTGCATTGGCAGCGGTAAACAGGCACAAATAACAAACGAAGCAACTCAACACAACTCGTCAAAAAACACAGCCCTAAAATAATAAACGCGTGCAACATTACGGGCAATCGTTCTGCTTCACGGCACATAACATATGTGCTATGATTGTGTATATGTACTCAACCCAAAAATAAGATAAATTAAAATAAAACACCCTTCAAAACGTCCGGAGATGAAAATACCACGGTTTGAAATCTTTGCATACTCATAATTGTTAAAATGTGAAATAACAAAAGAGCACAGAAGACTGGAAAATTATGCAGTAATATTAAAACGACAAGATTAATGAGCCAACGGAAGGGAAAGCAAATAAAATATTCACTCGTTCACACCTCACAATACACATTGGCAAAATATGTAGGAACATCTTGACCAGCCTCTGGAAAATCAGCTGACCTGAGACAAGCAGGAACACATCTCAAAGCAGATAACATGCAGTAACATGTGTAATGTATGGTGTGAAATTACCAGACAGAGCTAAATGATCAATTGCCACGCATGATAGTATCACCCATGTATGGCCACGGTGGCGATTTGTAAACTACTTCGCCTGCTATGCAGGAGCGCGTGGGTTCGATCCCTGCCTGTATATTTGGAGTGTGTATGTTCTCCCCTTGGTCGTGCGGATTTTTCTCTGGCTCCTCCGGGTTTTCCCTCCGCATTTAGAAGCATGCGTTTAGAGTACTTGGCTGCGATACATTTCCACGTGGATGATAAACCACTTCGTTGAGCTATCATTCGTGGACAGGTCGTTTCTTATAAGAGCTGTACAGCTCAGTGGGCCTTACCTGGTTAAAATAAATATATTATACTCTTGGGTCTTTCGTTTAAGTCACTTAAATAAAAAAAATAGATCACCACGTTAGGATTGCAACACAAGCAATCGTCTCGCAATCGTCTTGTGTTGCGATCAAAACGTCGTGATCTATTTTTTTTATTTACTTGACTTGACCGAAAGAACCACGAGAATGAATTCCTTTAAATCAAGGTCAATATATTGATATAAATCTGCATTATCAACCATCGTTTCATTTGAATACGTCACCGCCTATTTTTCTACACTGGTGATTATATAAACTCGTTCAGCACAAAACTTAATGAAGAAACGTGTACAGTAAAGACATCATGTGCTGGTTGTCAGGTCGTGCTGAACAAGCTCACTCAGGATGCCGAGTGCAACGTCGGATATCATGCCAAATAACATTCGGTATAACCCAAAACACATACACTAGACAGCTACAAAAAGAGTATTGGTTGGATTTTCACAAAGTTATCTGAATTGTGCATGCTACACTTGTAGGTGCATGTTTATAATACATTTTCAATTTAGTTTTACACAGCTCCTAACCGCCAGGAACTTTATGCGAGCACGGTGGCACAAGAACGTTGAATGCCAATGCACGTGTAGAGGGTCATCTGTAGTGTACAAAAATGTGAAATAAAGTGAAAATGGCAAGGAAAATCAGTAGTGAGTGGCAAATATTATTGAAGGCATGACACATACACCCGAATGTTTACTTGATCAACGTAAAGATGCACATACAATCAGGCATATGCATTTACTGATACCAAAAAGTTATATTGTCACACACGGGCATCATATGCTAAGTAACAAAAGGTCAGGGGCCGTCCATAAATGACGTCACGCACCTAGGGGGGGGGAGGGGGGTCAGACATTTGTGACGATGTGTTATGAAGGGGGGAGGGGGGGGTGAGAAATGTGACGTCACTTAAAAATGCGTAACTTTAAATAAATATTGATGAAATAGAATTGTTATAACACTAATTTTGATTAATTTTCATGAATAACTATGATTATTTAAATTTACTAAGGCCACCTTTTATTCATTTCATGAAGGAGCATTTTGCTTCTCCATGGGAGAATGGAAAAGCATACATTTTGTAAATGTTTTGAATGATTGTTATTAAACATTTTGATTCTAATGATTCTACCAGGGCTTTTCATTATGTGAAATGAATATGTGATTGTTATAATTGTACTCTCCATTTTGCTTCATTCTACTACAAACTTCAAGTATTTTTATAGTTATAATTACTTTTAATATGTTAAATTATAAGACAATTTCAATATAATATTCTGAACATCTGCAGTTTTAGTTAGACGTTGAATATTTTCAAGTGAATTTTATTGCTAAATTTCAACTTTCCAACGCCTCCTTTTTAATACGTGTTTTCTCCTACATCAGAGTGCAGCACCACATTAAATACTCACTACAATGATAATAGTTTAAAGTGATTTGAAGCATGCTTAATTTTCAAAATGTAAATATGTGTTTTTTGGAGGGGGGCAGAGCTTTGTGACGTCATATTTGAGGGGGGTCTGACTTTTTGTGACGTCGTGTGACGAGGGGGGGGGGGAGGTCAAAAATCGGCCAAAATCGCGTGACGTCATTTATGGACGGCCCCTCATGCAATAACCATTTTTAATCACCACTTTGCTGGATAAATCGTGCATGTCAATCTACTGCTGGATGAGGGCATCATCAGGCGGCAGCCAGATTTGTGGAGATCTAACCCAAAACAAACCCCGTATTATGGATATTGGTCACGAAAGCCTCCATGTTAAACCATGTTTTTGTGTCACATGGATTATCCCGTTTAGCCGGTCGCCCGGCTATTTTGCAAGGGAGATCCGTGTGGTGCGTGAGCCCATCACAAACAAGCATTGGGTATTGCAGATAACCTGTACAGGTTCCTGAAAAAATATTGCACAACTTGCAAACGAGGTACAGTATCGAACGGTCGTAAAGGAAACACACGCGAATAATAGTGACAATAAAACACCACTGCAAATGGCATTACATTACCATAATAATTATAAGCGCACGCTTTCCGCATATTCACGACGTTGCCTCGGTATCCCCTGTCAAGTAAAGATTGTGGAATTCTCGTGGATATGGAACCGGTTGCAATGGCACGGCGCAACGGGAGAGGGGGAGGAGATGGGGGAGGAGAGGGGGGAGCAGTTGACGTTCTAACGCACGCGGCTCCCGCGATAGGATCGAGCCATACCGCGAATATTGCTTGGGTGAGCCAGAGAGAGAGAGGCAGGAGGGAGGGGAGATACGGAGATCGCAGAAAGAGAGAGACACACACAGGGTATAGACATACTCGGAGGGAGAAAGAGAGAATGAGACGCTGAGAAACGCAACGAACGGACACACGGGGAGGGGAGTTATATAGGGCCTTGGACCGAGAGAGGGAGGAGAGAGGGTGGATAGGGACTGGACCAAGAGAGGGAGGAGGGTGGATAGGGACTGGACCGAGAGAGGGAGGAGAGAGGGTGGATAGGGACTGGACCGAGACAGGGAGGAGAGAGGGTGGGGGAGACTGAGAGAGGGAGGAAGAGAGGAGGGCGTGGGGGAAGAGTGCGCAGAGAGAGAAAGACACACACACAAAGAGAGGGGAGGGGGAAACTGGACCCGAGCGAGGAGGAGGAGGGAGAGAGAGAGCGAGCGAGAGAGAGGAGGCAGTCGCTTGGAAGAGGAGCGCTCAAACGCGCACCGCACAGCGCAGCTATCGCTCGCCATCGCCACGCAATCGCTCCAGTCCACCCCTGCAGGTAGGCGGTGTGTGTGCGCGTGTCTCACGCACGCGCGTATTTGTGCGTACGCGATGTGACACGATGTGACACGTGTCGTGTACCTACGTGTGCAGTTGCGTTACGGTACGTGCGCATGTGTATGCGGTACTTGCACACGTGCGATGTAAGCATACACGCATGCAGTAGCTGTACAGTATATGGGCGTGTGTCGGCTTGGGGTTACTCTGGGACTGCGCGAGTATCTTGCCCGTGTTTTCGCGCGTGTACACATGTGTGTAGCTGTGCGCATTGTGGTGGTGCGTGTATGGTGTGGTGCTGTGTGGTGCTCCGTGGGGTGCGTTGTGTATGTGTGTGTGGTGTGTGACCACACCACAACCACCGACTCCCGCCCAGCGCTCTGTTCCCGGCGTTCATAGGCGATGGCTAACAGCAGCATTAGAAAGCACGTGTAGCCCTGTTGTCTCAAGCACGTGTCACCCTGTTGTCTCAATCACGTGTGTAGCCCTGTTGTGTCAAGCACGTGTGTAGCCCTGTTGTGTCAAGCACACGTGTAGCCCTGTTGTGTCAAGCACACGTGTAGCCCTGTTGTGTCAAGCACGTGTGTAGCCCTGTTGTGTCAAGCTATGGGGAGCGGTGGTGCAGCGGTTCGCGCGCTGCGCTACGAACCCGGGCACCCGAGTTCGATTCCACGCTCACGGCCAACACCCAGTGTGACGATTACCGGTGCTCGACCTCCCCCTAGGTAGACTCGGCCTCAAACGAGTACCTGGTGCGATCTGTAAAAACATCGCCACCGTGGAGACAAATGCGGCCGGGCGTGGTGGTGTTGGCCATCCCCCCCCCACCATCGCGTGCCGTGCCGGCCTTCGTAGGGTGCTCGCTAACACAGCACTTGCCCCCCTCCCCCAGCAGTGTGGATGTGTAACACACGTGTGGATGTGTAACATACGTATGTGTGTTGGTGTGTAACACACGGGGACACAGCACACTCGACAGACGCCGTGAGTGCTACAGACGTGGGGACTGCACACACACACACCTTGCACACACATAGCACTTGCCCCCCTCCCCCAGCAGTTCTGAATCTTTGTGTGAAGCTACGCGGTAGTCTGGCCGAGGGCGGGCGGGCAGGGGAGTGGAGGCGTCTGTATGTATGTGTGGATCAGTGGATGTGTAACACACGTTACACATCCACTGTAACACACGTGTGTGTGTGTGTGTGTAACACACGTGTGTGTGGGTGTGCAACACACGTGTGTGTAGGTGTGCAACACACGTGTGTGTGGGTGTGCAACACACGTGTGTGTGGGTGTGCAACACACGTGTGTGTGGGTGTGCAACACACGTGTGTGTGGGTGTGCAACACACGTGTGTGTGGGTGTGCAACACACGTGTGTGTGGGTGTGCAACACACGTGTGTGTGGGTGTGCAACACACGTGTGTGTGGGTGTGTAACACACGGGGACACAGCACACTCGACACACGCCGTGAGTGCTACAGACGTGGGGACTACACACACACACCTTACACACACATACACAGTGTGGGGAGCGGTGGTGCAGTGGTTAGCGCTACGCTGCGCTATGAACCCGGCTAACCCTGGTTCGATTCCCGCTCACGGAGCAACACCGGTGTGACGATTATCTGAACCGGTCCTGGGCCTCCCCTAGGTCGACTCAGCCTGAAATGAGTACCTCGTGCGGTGTGTAAACATCGCCTTCATAGGTGCTCGCTAACAGCACTTGCCCCTACAGTCTGTTAAGGCTATACGGGGAGGGGATCTTTTGTCTTTGTGAGTGCGGGGATGCGGTGGTGTAGTGGTCGGCGTTACGAACCGGACGTCCCGAGTTCGCGTCCCGCTCAGGCCGAGTGACCACCCCGGGCCGCGGGTGTGTAGTAAACACCGCCACTGGGGAGACAAAGGCGGCCGGGCGTGTTGCGGGCCCCGCACCCACACGACCCTGCCTAGGCGCTGCTCGCTCACGGCACGTGCCCCCCACCCACACACAACAGTCTGTTGCGCACTAGGCGGGGGGATCTTTAGTCTTTGTGCGCGCCGAGATGGCTTTCTCTCTCCCCAGTTGATACAAAATGTTGCAGATCCTCTCCCCGCGTCCGTCTCTCGCCGGCCGCGGGCTTGACAAGTAGCTGGGGGGGTGTGTGGGGTCGCTGGCTGGGGTGGTTGGCGATCTTCCCCCTCGCGGTTCCTCCTCTCTCGCTCTCTTCTCGAGCCACCATCCCCCCCCTCTTCTCTCTCTCTCTGTGTATATGTTATTTTTTTAAAGTGTTCTGCTATTAGGCGCCATTTTGCGCTTCGTGGATATGCTTTGCCAGTGGCGTTTGCGCTGCGCGGTGCGATGGTTGAGGTGATGATGGTGGTGGTGGGGATGGTGGTGGTGGTGGGGATGGTGGTGATGGTGGTGCCTGCCCCTCACCATCATCCGCGTGCGATGGTTGAGGTGATGATGGTGGTGGTGGTGATGGTGGTGCCTGCCCCTCACCATCATCCGCGGGTGACGACGATGATGATGGTGGTGGTGGCGGCGATGGGGATGGTGATGATGACGATGGGTAGCGATGATGGTGGTGGTGGTGACGGTGGTTTGGGTGGTGTTCTTGGAAATGAGCGCAATTCCTCGGTATTCTAAAAAAAAACCCCACATATATACCGCCTTACCGGTGTGTGTGTGTAGGAGTGCACCCATCGCTAAATGCGTGGTGGCTTTCTTTCCCAGTGTTCATGTTGAACCCGCGGTGCGCTCTGCGCGTGAATGAATGGCATTCCGCAAACGATGTATTTGTTGAACAACAACAACCACCACCAGCCCCCGGGGTTTAAGGTAGCACACCCGATGGGGATCTGTAACTTCACTCTTCTTTGGTTATTTCGGTAAAGTCACGTAGGTAAAAATAATTTTTTTTTTACCTACGTGACTTTACCGAAAGAAATAAAGAGATCCTTGCAGTCACGAAAACTTCAAATCTCTGTAACTTTATCTGGTAGGCCAGCGCACCCAACCCGCTTGCTGGATGTGAGACGTTATAGTATAACTCCGTTTATCCGCGGCTCCTGTTATCCGCGTAATGTCAGCGGAAACTACAATCGGCATATCACTGTCACAGTTGTATTCAAGTTATCCGCGACTACAATTTGTAGGGCTTCGACGACAAGTAAAATTATGAGCGGTCTCGATTCATCCAATTATCCGCCATCCATCCCCCCCCCTGCCAGCCACCGCGGATTAGTGGAGTATGGGGCCGTCCATAAATGACATCACGCACTTAGGGGGGGGTGGTGGGGTCAGACATTTGTGACGACGTGTGACGAGGGGGGGGGGTGTTTGAGAAATGTGACGTCACATCAAAATGCGCAACTTTAAATAAACATAATTAAATATACTTTTTAATACATGTTTTTTCCTACAACATCAGAGTGCAGTGCCAAATTAAAGCGATTTGAAGCATGTTTTAGATATTTGGGGGGGGGGGGGCAGAGCTTTGTGACGTCATTTGAGGGGGGGGGGGTCTGACTTTTTGTGACGCCGTGTGACGAGGGGGGGGGGGGGTCAAAAATCGTCAAAAATCGCGTGACGTCATTTATGGACGTGGTCATATATATGACCACGTTTGCAGGCGACAGCAAGTGTCTCTGCACGTGGAGTGTCACGCACGTGAAATATGCACCTTGTTTGTAAACGGCAGCATTATTAAGGCGTTATTATAATATTTGTTTTGCCCTAAGCGATCACCATTCAGAAAACTGGTTGCGATTGGTTGCCATAGTGCGGCAAAACACACATTGTTGTGCCGTACTCCTATGCTCCAACGTATCCCCTCTCACTGCCTTCTACAACCCGCACGGAAGCCGGCGTGGTGAATTTCGGTCGAACAACTCGCCCACCGACCCCACGCGACGTTGACAGGCCCTCATCCAGCAGTGGATTTGGCACAGTCAGCTGTAACATGCACACACGTGTGCATGCACACACGTGTGTGCTTGTTGCATATACGTGTGTCGTGTGTGTGTATACAGTTATTCTTGTTAGCAGTCTCCGAATTGCCGAGCTGAAGCAGGGCGGTGTGACGCTCGCTATGATTTCCTTGGCCATGAAGTCAATCACTGCACCACAGCTGCGCCCTCCACTGTGAGTGCCGTTGCTATGAAATGTATCCTAATGGCGTTGCATTAGCCATGTGAGTAATGTGCTCACGTGGCCGTTCTGTTATTCCATGCACGGTGCATGTTGTGAGGCCGGGTGTGCAGGTAATGTGCATCAGCTCCTTAGGGGGGGCGGGCGAGCGATTAAATATTGATGCCAACCAGCACACGGAAGGGGTTGTGTATGAGGCAACGTCCACCAGGGAGATGGAGCGATTGCTGGGTACTTGATGGATCTATTTACAAAGGAGCGTGAGAGATGGCAGTGGATTGGGGAGAACCTTCATCCAGCAGTCGATTAACCATAGGGCTGATGATGATGATGAAGGTGACAGTCATAATATTGTATGGTATAGTAAGCACGCTGCTTAATTTCAGTTGGAACAGACCGGAACGCCTTTCTGGGAATTATTTTTGGCACGCCACATCTATCTTTCCTATTGTGTCCGAAAACCTGTTCATAGGATCAAATAATTATAGGGTACTATAGGATTATTATGGATAGGCTTACCTTGTACTCTAGTGGTAGTGCCTTACACCGATATTCCCTACTCCAGCCAACTTCATCAGATTTCTGGAACATCGAGTGAGAAATGAATCCATGAGCATAGGCCAAAAATGCAACGAACACTAAGAGAGAGTGAAATGTAAATCAAGAGTGGAACTATGAGATCTTGAATGTGTGTGGACTGCATGTATTATCTGACATTGTGGGCCGGCCAGTCGGTCAGTGCAAGTGTGACGGGAATTGAAGGAAATAAGGGGTGGGGAATAATGGATGAGGCTTGTCTGGCGAGCGCAGCGTGACTGATTGGCAAGAGGAGCCCGTTCGTGACCCCCCAATGCGACCATGCACTCA